GGTCCTTTCCCCCAGAGCCCCCTCCACAGGTCAGGGCGACTGGCGCAGGCAGCCCCTCCCTGGGCCTCGGGTCCAGTCCTCCCCACACCTGCACCACCTGTGCAAGGATTGAGACCAGATGCACACGGGATGCCACGGCCCACGCTGAGGTAGCGGTCTGGGAGCCAGCAGCCCCTCTGCACCCCGCTGGAGGTCTGGGGCCCAGGAGAACCCCCATGCCCTCCGGGACCCTGGGCCCGACAGGAGTGGAAAGGTCGCCCCCGACCTTCTGTACCGCCCCCCCCCCACCCCCCGCGGGACGGCATCTTCCCCACAAGCAATCTTTGCTGCCATCCAGTGGCCGCTGAGCACAGTGCAGTCGCGCAGCTCCCGCAGGGGCTTGGGATGGCCAGCAGGGAGCCCAGCCCTCTGCATTCCCCAGCAGACCCGACTGATCTGATCCGCCGGCCCTCACCCTAGCATCAAGCCTGGAGGGGACGCCCCCTCAGGCCGTCCCAGCAGCCCCGCTGTCCATTGGACCCAGGGAGGGCAGGCAGGGATCCCTGGGGAAGGGACCCAGGCTTGTGCTTCCTGCTGGCTGACAGCACAGCAGATGGGGACTGGGGACCCCTCTCGTCTGCCGCACATCAGGGTCCTGGTCCAAGTCGTGCTCCCGCACATACAGCCGGGGAGGCAGTGAGACCCCTAACCACGTACTTGGACAGCAGGACGGAGCCCCGGCCCTCAGCCCTGACTCCCAGTTCCCAGCTACCCTGGCCAGTCCCGACCTAGCAGAAGGAAAAACTCTCCCTTTCTCTGCCTCTCCCTCTGCTGCTCTTTCAATAAATAAAAATAAACATTAAACCGTATCTCTGCCTCTAGTGATGGGGTCAGGCCGCCCCTGCCTGGAAGACGGGAAGGGCTGCCCCGTCGCGGGATGCCCAGCTCACAGCCTCGGCCAGGCCATTCCACGCTGCTAAAGCCTGCAGCTACGTTTAAACGAAGCCCCGCAGCCGGGCACAGCGGGTACTTTCTTGCACAGGTCCGTCTCCGGGTAAGGCGTCCATGGACCAGAGTGCCGTGTCCTGGGGTGGGGAGAGGAGAGACCAAGGGATCAAGAGGGCTCAGACTGGGCTCAGAACAAGGCACCCTTACATCTCAGGGACCAAGCCCTCCCTTCCACGGGCACCTGGGGAGGCAGTGGAGGACACCTGCAGGTGGCCACGGACAGCGGCTCCGGTCTGATCCACCGGCCTGGTACCCAGGGCCACCCAGCAGGGGTGGGTAGACCCTGTCTCAGTCCCCGCCGCCGCGGGCTTTGGGGGAATGAGGCCAGGTGTACGTCCATCAGCTCTGAAAACAACCACACGTCCGTGTCCTCAGAGAGGCAGCCCGCCCTGCAGGGTGCTGGAGGCCAGGGTCAGGCCGGCAGGAGCAAACAGCCATGCTTGCAGACACGCAGGGGGGCACAGCACACCTACAGGCACACGCGTGACCCAGCGGCATGTGCACACAGCATGGGGGCGTGCGTGTGGGGACATGTGTGCGCACATGCGTTCCCGAACGGGAACATCTTCACAGACCTTGTTATCTACAGCAACGCGGTGAACCTAGAAATGAAGGGAAGGCAAAGCCAGCCATCCTGTAAATCACTCCCGGTCGGGAGTAAATAAACGCCACGACGGCCGTTCACAATTACAGACGAACCTCACCCGTCCGCGGGCGGCCGCCAGGGGAGCCTGCGGCGGATTCACAGCCTTAAATGCTTTTATTACCAAGCAAGAGAGCCTGAAAATAAATGAACTAAACATTGGACACAGGGAGGGGAGGACTGAGCCGCAAGGAAAGCCCACGGGGGCGGGAGGCGGAGGGAGATAAAAGCGCGATTAATGAATTGGAAACAGAGGAACGGGGAGCCCGTCAGTAAATCCTTGGGCTAAATAAAGCGGGCGGGCGGCCCCGGAGGAGGCAGGCAGACTCGAAGTGACAGGTGACTGCAGCCGCCTCGCGGTACAGGTGTGTCCAGGAGTGCCCCTCACAGAGAACGCAGCGAGCATGAACAGAAACGCCACCACAGGCCGCCTGCTGCGCACCAGGGGCCGGTCAGCTCACGTGAGCCCACCCCGGCCTGTGGGCATTCTGCCAGCAGGACCCCCTCATTGGGGTGTCAGATGGAGAAGGCGGTACAGGGGGGCCACCTGCAAGGGTCACCGTGGATCCTGGTTCTCTCGGAGCCCAATCCATGTCCCTGGACGCCTGCTGCAGGGACCACAGTGGAGAGCCTGGCCGTGAACTGAGGCCAGGCTACCACGCCACAGCCCTGCCACTGCCCCCCACCCACCCCAGGACCTCACTGGGGGTTCCTGGGCACCAGGCAGAGGTCTGGGAGAGTCATGAGGCTTGCACTTCATGTGCTTGGTAGGCCCTGCCCAGGACGCCCTGATGGGCAAGTCCTCTACTCTGAGTTCCGTGCCTCCCTCGGGAGTGACTAGCAGGGGTCTGTCCACTGGTGACTGCTCTCCATCTGTTCCCAGAAGCAACTGCTCACACTGCTAGGATGGGGTGGGAACGGACACCCACGTGACAACATGGCCAGCCAGATGTACACACCTGCCACGGAGAGCCCCACAGAGCCACATTCGAGGGTCATGCTGAATGCGGGCTGTGGGGCAATAGGCGATGCTGCACCCCAGATGGTCACGTGGGCACTGGCATCTGGCCTGGTGGCTGGAGTGCTGCCAGGACACCCCATCCACATCAGAGCAGCAGGGCCACACGTGGATCCACTTCCTTGCTGGACTACTCTCAGCTCCTACCACTCAGCAGAAACACAGCTGTCCCCACACCAGGGCCACCTCCTGGGGACCCACCCTATCCTTGCCCACTGCTGACCTACCTGATGGGCACAGCCTCCTCTTAGAGGTGTGGACGCCGGAAGGCCTCATTTTTCAGCACCATAGGCACCAAGGGCTCACTCCTCACTCCGTTCCTAAGGCCCCTCTACTGGGAGGCCTGGCCCCGGCTGTACTGCAGTAACCCAACGGGCCAGTTCCTTCCTTACCCCTCTGCACCCCCAGACCCCCACTCCCCCTGACTGCAGGCAGGGCAACCAGCTCAAGCCTACACCCCGGAGCCTCCCTCAGGACACAGCCTGCCCCAGGTGACACACGGGCCAGACCATCAGCATCAGAGGGGCCTGGTCTCCGAGCCATGCCCAGTGTCGCCTCCAAGGATTCTCACGTGCCAACCACAAGGACTCTGAGGTGCCGCCACCTGCCCCAGGGCACTCCAGCTTTACAACCCTCCCACAGCGTCCAGACTGGGGGAAGATGAGGGGACGAGGGCGTCAGTGGCCACCCCACCCCACCCCACCAGCATCACCTTCTCAAACTGCGGGGATGCTCCAGTCTTCCTCACAGCTGCGCTCTGCCGGCCCGGCCTCCTGTCAAGCACACACGGCTACGGGCAGGCCATGGGTGGGCGTGCTGTGGGGCGAGGCTGTGGGGATGGGCTTGCCCTCGCTGTCCTCACTGCTCCCCCCTCACCTGTCACTGCCGCCAAGAGGGGGGGGGGCAACTAGGTACTGCTCCTGCTCCCCTCCCCCCGCAGTGCCTCTCGCAGACCCGGGTCTGCCTCGTGGAGTCCCCCAGGCACCGTGGGGCAAGGCGGCACACCAGCCCGGGGCTCCCTCGGCAGTGGCACTGGGAGCAGTGTGTGCATTGGGGAGGCTGTGCAAGGACAGGGGACAGGAGTCTGTCCACCATGCTGGGCAGGTAAAGCTGCCCTAAAAGCAAGCTATTTGGGGAGCAGAACCTTTGCAACCCAGCAAAGGGATCCACAAAGGGGGTCCTGCCTGCTGTGTGTCCACCTGTCTGGCGGGGTAGAGGCCGCAGCTGCCTCTGCAGTCCTGTGCCCCCTCCAGCTGGGAAGAGTGGGCTTCAGACGGTGACCACGGACCACCAGCTAACCAGCCGCCAGACAAGCCAGGCTCTCCCGCACACTGGAAGCTGGGAAGCACACACCTGTTTCCCGAGGCCGTGAAAACACGATTCCCCAACTTAGAACCCGCAAAGGAAGCTTGACAAGGCAGGGCAAGTCTCCTTCCTTGAAAACCCATCACTGCAAGACGCCTGCAGGACTTCTGGGGGACCTGTCGTCCAGGCACCTGCGCCATCATGTGCACCTCCATGCCGCATTAGCAAGGAGCTGGGGCAGAGGGGCTGGGCCTGGACCTCAGGGTAGAACGCGGATGTCCGGGTGGCAGGCTACCCAGTTGTCTCCACACCCTGTGTGCTTCCCCAGCTACCTGCTTCATGCCACGGTCCTGCTGACCACTGTCACCGCCCCCCAGACTGCAGGGAGTCTCACCAACTGACCCCAGATGTGAGGGCTCCTGGCATGTCTCCCCAGGGGCTGCCCCAGATGGCAGAAGGGTTCCCAGGGCCTGGGCCCACCTAGGCTCCCTCAGCTTCTGCCCACCCCGCAAGCTGGCAATCTTCTCTGGGACCCCAGGACTCCTATGGGGCCAGCTGACAAGCTCACACCTGCAGGTCCCTTTTAAGATCACTGAAGGAAAGCTCAGGCCTCCCTGCTGGCCTGCGCTCAGCTCCAGTCCCAGAGCAGGGGACCTCGCAGGACCCAACGCTCTGGGCACCTCCCTTCCCATCTGCTCCCCACAAGGCAGAGCCAGTGCTGCTAAACTGCTGTGCGTGGCTGCCTGGTACCTCCTGCCAGCCCTTGCAGCCCCGACCTAAGGCCTCCCCAGGCAGCACACGAGGGGCAGGCTGGGACACACACACATCAGAAGGCACACTCACTTGAGGCAGGTTCACACACACACACCAGGCAGTACACTCGGGGCAGAGCAGGATCCAGCCGTGGGGAGGGGATTCTCAGGACCAAGAGGGGCCAGGCACCACAGGGCTGACCACACAGCACACGCCGGAGGCTCTGCACACAGACAAGCATATCAGCCAGCAATGCCAGAGTGGGCACGCAGCTGCAGGGATGTTACTAGCAAGTCAGAGTTTCTTATTTTTATTATCATTCCATATAAAAGCAATAGAAACCTAACAGTTCCAACAACAAGTTTACAATTGAATATCAAACAGAAAATCTGTACACATCATCATTTACAGCAACTTTACAGGTAAACCAGGAGACTGTTCCTCGGCTGTGACTCCACAGCACTGTGGGAAGAGCTGGCAGGACACTGTCCCCAAGTGCCAAGCCCAGTGGGACTCGCTCAGCGACTCAAGGCAGCAGGGTCCCAGGTCTGAGACTCCCGAGGACACGCGGGTAGGGGGGACAACTTGTTAGGGACCTGAAGAGGAAGCCACGCCCGCCTGAGCTGGCCTGAGGGTGGGAGGAGCCGCTGCATGGGCCCCAGATACCTTGGCTCACCTGCCCAGGCTCAGCCCGGTTACAATTCCAAACACACAACACGCTCACCACGCAGGAAGACAAGGTCCCTCAAGAAAACTGCAAGAGCTGCCCAGGCTCTGGGGGCGCTTAGCTCGAGGACGACAGGTCCTTCTGGGGTTCCATCAGGCACGCCTCCAAGTCAAATTCGTCTTCCACCTGGTAGTCCACGTGTCTCACCTTGGTAGGCGTGCCAGAGTATGCATCCTGCAAGGCAAACCTGGGGTCATGCCCTGCGGAAGGACCGAATGGGCTGCACCCCGGGGAAGGCAATGGGAGCAGGGCACTCGCTGCCGGGCTCTGGGTACCAGGACGCTGAACCTCACTCTGGCTGGGAGCCAACGCTCTCCTGACCCCCAGCAGCCCAGGGGAGGGCTCGGGAGCAGACACCGTCCACTCAAGACTTGGTGGCTGTGTCCTGGGTGGGCTCTGCCCCTTCTGGCTGGCCTGCAGACCCTGCGGGCAGTGGTCAGAACAGCACCCCCCAGAGCCAGCATGCCCTGACTCCTGACACTGGGCCCACATGCGTGGGACGGGACCCCAGGCCAAGGAGCTAGGCCCGCCCAGCACAGGCAGGGGGTGCCGAGAACACAGGGCTGCACCAAGGGCAGTGTGTTTCCCCAACAATCTCCTGACGCCACCACGAGGCTGGGATTCACAGGACACTCGCACACACACATACCTAACTCAGACACACACACACACACACCTCACACATACATCACACACTCAGGACACACACACGTCTACCACCCCCATGGTGTCCCTGCTCCAAAGGCTCTGACTGTTTAGCACCTAGGACCTAGCAGCTAAGGTCCTCACCTTGCACGTGCCAGGATCCCATACAGACACCAGTTTGTGTCCCAGCGGCCCCATTTCCCATCCAGCTCCATGCCTGTGGCCTGGAAAAGCAGTGGAGGACAGCCCAGAGCCTTGGGACCTGCACCCACGTGGGAGACCTGGAGGAAGCTCCTGGCTCCTGGCTCTGGATCAGCACAGCTCCTGCCACTGCGGCCACTTGGGGAGTGATTCAGTGCATGGAAGATCTGCTTTTCCTTCTTCCTGTAAATGTCTCTCCAATAAACACAAATCTTCAAAAACAAACAAACAAAGGGAAAACTCTGGGTCTCCCACGCAGGTGCAGGGTCCCAAAGCTTTGGGCCGTCCTCGACTGCTTTCCCAGGCCTCAAGCAGGGAGCTGAATGGGAAATGGGGCCACTGGGACAGGAACTGGTCCCCGTATGGGATCCTGGTGGTTTTAAAGCAAGGATTTAGTCAGTAGGCCCCCACACCAGGCCCGAATGCAGGTCAACTGCTGGGCACAGAATTAGGGACTAGCAGGTGGGACGGGCGCAGTAACCCAGTGGCTAGGGTCCTCACCTTGCATCACCTGGGGAGTGATTCATTGGACGGAAGATCTTTCCTGTCTCTCCTCTGTCAATCTTTCCAATAAAAATAAATCTTTAAAAAAAAATTAGCAAGCAACTCTTGCTCCAGCTAGAGTGCCTACACATGGGGACACAGCACCTGCAGTGCCGACACTGGGCCGACGGCAGCACCCTGCTCCCATCTGAGGGTGGCAGACTGATTTAGGACATGAAGCAGACAGGGTGTCAGCGTCAGGCTCAGCTGCTGCCCACACACGCGCACACGCCGGGAGACAGCCAGGAGCCCGCCCAGGCCCGGTACGTACACAGGTGCCCTGGGAGCCCGGCTGGGACTCGCCGCTGCTCTCCGCAGACTTGGTCTCCATGACGCCGAGGTCCACGGGGTGCCTGTGGAGGGAAACCCAGTGGGAGTCAGTTTAATAGCATATGGCACCCACACCCCAGGGCTGCTGAGGGGCACAAGGTCCCCAAAGCCACTGTTTGCAGGAAGTCTCCATTGGGGGACAGTAGGAAAGCCCCACTAATGCCCCAGGGGAACCCCACTTCCGGGGAGAGGCACTTCTTCAAAACAAGGACACAAAAAAAGTCACACCAGGAAGTCTGAGGCAAAAGCTGCGAGGCCAGAACAGTGACGCCCCAGGGGACACAGCATCTTAACCCACCGTGCCACTACCCAAGCAGATCTCGAAAAGCAAACCTGCATCCGCGTGCCAGTCTCATCAACCTGGCAGCGGACGGCTTCGGTGCTCCCGGAGGAGGCAGGACGAGGCTGACAACGGGTGGGGAACGCGGCCGTCCCCAGCCAGTCCGGCTTGCCTCTCCCTGGCACCAGGCTGGTCTTAAGCAGGCACGGGTGGTGGCCGCCTGTGGCCAAGGCTGCCTGCTAAACACGCTCACGGCCAGGGAGGGAAGCCAGCGCACACCCTCCCCAACATCCCCATGAGCATGGCCTCCAGCCCCACGCCCAGGAAAGCAGCCAACGGCCTGCATGCACGGGCTCCCTGCCCCACTCTGCACTCCTGGCTCGGCCCTGGCCCCGGCGCCATGGCCCTCGGAGCAGGGACCCAGTGAATGAAGACGGGTCTGCCTCCCCGCCCTGTGTAACTGCCCCATGCTAACAGCAGTGAGGCCGCCGCCAGGCCACTCCCTTCTGCTCACGGGCCCCAGCCAGGCAAACGCTCAGGGACTCAGGGCCCAGTGCTCTCCTAGGACCAGCCCAGCTGTTCCATGGTCGCAGCCATCCAGCAGGTGCCTGAGCTGACCCCTGAGGCAGACAGTGCTGCTGCTGAAGTCACCCTCCTGGGAAGGACCCCACTAACGACTGACCCGCTCCCCTTGGAACGTACATGTCCTGCAGCTCACAACCCTCCTCGGCTGGGGGATCCCAGAAGTGCAGTGCCACCTTCCAGAGCCGGATCTGCTGGTCCCAGGAGCGCCGGCTGTACTTCTTAAACTTGTTGGGGGTCTTGGGGTGGACGCCAGGCTGCCGAAGGTGCCTGGACAGCAAGAGCGCCTCAGAACTTAACGCTGCCCACGGATGCAGCTGGAACAGCCCAGCGGCTGCACACACACCAGACCCTGCCCACCGAGTCCTGTCTCAGGCAAGCACATTCCCACACCCTCCTTGGACGCCCTGCCTGCGTTTAAGGGACACTGCTCAGTGCAAGAAACGATAGCATCGGTCCCCTGCTCGGCTCGCCGCCCCTACTCCCTGCACCCGTGCCTCCCGCATTTCTACTGTTTCAGTAACAGCTGCCGGAGCACCAGGGGTCCCGGGAAGTTCTTTGGAGGAAGGACAGGCCCTCGGGTGACCCGCCCTACCTGGGCACCTCCCGGATGTAGCGGTCGTAGGCCATGGTGTTCTTGCCGTAGTTGATCTGCTTCTGCCGTCGCATGAGGACGCTCTCGTCCGTCTCCAGGTCGGCCGGCACCGCAGACGCCGACTCCTTCGAGTCAGAGCTGGGACGAGAGTCAGCATGCAGTGCCCGCTGTGGGTCCACGCCCAGGCCACCCGCCAGATGCCCACTGCGTGCCCCCACCCCGGCCAGGCTTGCTGCACGCACTCCGCGTCTGCAGGGCACAGCGTCCACCAAGCACTGGGACCACCTGCTTCCCACACGCTTTCCATCAACTTTTAGTCGGTTCCCCCAGACTCTGATGTTTACCTTCCTGAAGACGGCTTCCTCTCTCTTCCAAACTCATTTATGAGAAGTTTCCTTTTATATCTGGGAGAAAAACAAACATTACTGCTTTCTAAAAGGTACAATAAAAGCACTCTACGTTCCTGAAAACACTGACGTCTGCAGGGCGGAGCTGCCACACGCAGCCCCACACCTCGCGCTGGAGAGCCAGCTCCCAGCTAACACGCCTGGGAAGGCAGCAGAAAACGGCCCAAAGACCCGGGCCCCTGAGCCCAGCTGGGAGGCTTCCAGCTGGCGCAGGCCCAGCACCGCGACCACCTGGACACAGGCCGTCCCCACTGCCGTCACCCATCAACCGACACCCTCTCGTTCCCAGGCGGCTGCAATGAGCGAGCAAAAGCCGGGAGCTTCCTCCTGGCCTCCCACACACATGCAGGGACCCACGGCCTTGGGCCATCCTCTGCTGTTTTCCAAGGCCATTAGCAGGGAGCTGGATGGGAAATGGAGTGACCGGCACTTGAACCCACACCCCCATGGGATGTGGTGCTGCAGGCAGTAGCTCTATGTGCTGCCGTGACCAAGGGGAACTAGACCACAGCCAACACTTGAAGAACCCGGACATCAGGGGCTGCTAGCGGGCAGCTGGTCCCCATCCGCTAACACCTGAACCGTAGCGGGACATCGCCAGCACCCCCTCGGCAGCGCCCCCCGGAAGGCCCTCCCGCCCGCGCTACCTGGCCATCTCCCGGCTGACCCTGGTCCTCATCTCGTCCTCTTCCACAGCACCAGCCCAGTCAGGGCCTCGCGGGCGGGGCTTCGGGCCCTCGGGGGTGGTGAAGCTGCAAGCGGAGACGCACTCACTCCCCGCGCCGGGCGCCTCGCGGGGCTCCCCGCTGGCCACAGGGCAGAAGCAGCCCACGTGGCACGGCCCTACAGTCACGCTCAGGCCCAGAGGAAGGAGGTGACGCCCAAAACACTGGCCAGCGCCCCCACTGGGGCCTCTCCACCGCCACCCGGGAGCCCGCAGCCCCGGGCCCTGCGCCCGTGGGAGAGCGGGGGAAGGCTCCTGGTTCCCACCTGCCTGCTGGGGCGGTGGCCAGGCTGCTGCCTCGGGCCCGGTGGGTGCCGCCCTGCCTCTCCTTGGCGCCCCAAGCCAACCAGCGCCCGGTGTGACCCCACTTCCCCGCGGCCTTGACCTGCTCCCCGCCTTCGGGACCCGGGCCGGGCTCTCCGGGCGGCGGGCCGCGGCGGCCGTGAGGCGGCAACAAAGGCTGAGAGACGCGGGCGCCCCCGCCCAGGGCCCGACCCGAGCCCCCACCTCTCGGGCCTGCGGCCGGCGTCCTCGGCGGTGCGGGGCCTCCCGTCGGCTCTGCGCTTCCGTCCGAGGCTGCACCTGGCGGGGGACGGCGGGCTGCGGACGGAGCTGCGGTCAGCAGGGCTGCCCCGGCCCCCGCGCCCCCGGCCCTCACCTGGCGTCCCACCCGGCCCCGCCAGGCCCCCGGCCCTCACCTGGCGTCCCGGCGGCCGCCGTAGCTGGGCGGGGTGCGCGGCGGGCAGGCCATGGCGGGCGGGGACCTCGGGGGTCTCGGGGGTCTCGGGGGCCTCGCAGGACCTCGGCGAACGCCCGCCGACCTCGGCCGCAGGATCCCGACCTCCCGCCGCGCCGCTGACAGACTCGGCGCGCGCCCCGCCCCCAACCGCCCTCTGCCGCCTGGCCCCGCCCCCGCGGACCGCACCACCAGCCCGGCCGCGGGGGACGCCGAGAGCCCGGGGCCGCGCGCGGGAGCCTCGCGGCTGGACGCCCGCCGAGGAGCAGACGGCGCGGCGCGCGGGGCCCCGAGGAGGAACCGACGGCGCCCGCCGCCTCACCCGGGCACCGGTGGCGGCAGGCCCCGCTCGCGCCCCTTGGTCGCGCCCGCGCTCTTGGCGGGAGAGTCAGTCTCGCGCGCGCGCGGTAGGCGGGAGGAGAGGTGAGCACGTCGCCTATTGGCCGCTTCCTGGGCGGGGGGGCGCCCTCTGATTGGTCCCGGCGCAGGCCAGGCCTGTCACCATTGGCTCAGGTTGACCTGAGGCGCGTGGTCGGAACTGGCGGGAACCCGGAAGGGTCCGCCCGGTCCCCGGTCCCCCCCACCCTCCGTTCCTCTCGACCCTCCCTCCCCGCCCCCCGTGGTCCCGATCCTCCCTTCAGTCTTGGTCCCCCCCCCCCCCCCCCCCCCGGTGGTCCCGGTCCCCGCTCCTCCCTCCTCCCTGACGCTCCCTCCTCCCTGGCCCTCCCTCCTCCCTGACGCTCCCTCCTCCCTGACCCTCCTCCTCCCTGACGCTCCCTCCCTCCTCCCTGACGCTCCCTCCTCCCTGACGCTCCCTCCTCCCTGACCCTCCTCCTCCCTGACGCTCCCTCCCTCCTCCCTGGCCCTCCCTCCTCCCTGACGCTCCCTCCTCCCTGACCCTCCTCCTCCCTGGCCCTCCCTCCTCCCTGACGCTCCCTCCTCCCTGACGCTCCCTCCTCCCTGACCCTCCTCCTCCCTGACGCTCCCTCCCTCCTCCCTGACCCTCCTCCTCCCTGGCCCTCCCTCCTCCCTGACGCTCCCTCCTCCCTGGCCCTCCCTCCTCCTCCCTGACCCTCCTCCTCCCTGGCCCTCCCTCCTCTCGATCCCGGTCCCCCTCTGTTCCTCCCAGTCCTCCCTTCCCTCTTGTTCTTCCCAGTCCTCCCTATCCCCGACCCTCTGTTCCTCCTCCCGGTCATCTCGGTCTTTGTCCTCCTAGTCCTCCCTCCCCCCTCCCGGCCGCCCTCGTCCCACCTCCCCACTCGGCCCTGCGCCCCCGGGTGGAGCAGGACGTGGCAGGTGTGCAGGTGTGCAGGTGTGCACGCACAGCCCCCCCACTCGGCCTGTTCTCGCCAAAAAACACCAGAGCCCGTCTGTGCGCCTGAGCTGTTTATTACCGGGGTCAGGAGCTCCGAGGGGGCTGGGAGCGCAGGGACGGGGAGGAGAGCACGGGCCACGGGGTTGGCACACACCCTGTGCCCCCGGGGCGCACAGCACCCCGCAGCCATGGGCAGGAGCCGACCCCGGGCGCACAGCACCCCGCAGCCGTGGGCAGGAGCCGACCCCGGGCGCACACCCTGTGCCCCCGCGCGTACAGCCCTGGGCAGGAGCCGACCCCCGCGCCCTCAGCGAATGCAGCACACGTCCAGGATGCAGAAGCGGGCGCGGCAGGTGGGGCAGGGCACGCGGCTGGCCAGCCAGGTGTCGGGGCGCTGCGGGTCCTGGCGGCTGGCGAACCACTTGCCCATGCAGGTGAGGCACCACATGGGGCGGCAGTAGCACTGCTGGCACTCGCCGGCCGCCGCATCCTGGCAGCTCTTGACCAGCTTCACGCCAGCGCGCGTCTGCATGCAGCCGATGCACGCTTCCAGCTCCTGCAGACCAGGGCCGGTGGGCGCGGGCACCGCCTTCCCCGCACCTGCCCACACCTGCCCGCCCGGGCACCGCCTGCCCACACCTGCCCGCTGGGCACTGCCTGCCCTGCCCGCACCTGCCCGCTGGGCACCGCGTAGGCCTGGTTGCCCTCCACCAGCGATGCGAACGTCTCCAGGAACAGGTCGCTGAGGCTCTGCCGGATGACCACGTGGGCCGCGCGGCGGACGGGCGCCTGCAGCTTCTCACACAGCTCGCCGTACTCGGCCGAGTTGAGCCTGCGGGAGCCGGGCCTGCTGCAGCCCCCCGACCCGGGCTCCGGGGCTCCCCCGCCGCCCCCGGGCCGTCCCGCTTACCGGATGTCAAAGGGCCGCACCGCGGGGCTGGCGCTGGCCACGCGGAGGGTCAGCAGCTGCACCGGCAGGTTCGAGTCCGGCGACAGCTCGTGCTGCCGCGACTCGGTGACCGTCAGCTGCGCCTCCTGCTGCCGTGCCACGTGCACGCGGTACGTGGCCACCTTCATCACCCACGTGTCCGTCACGATCACGCGCGCGCCCGGGGCCCCCGTGGCGAACTTGTCGATCCGACGGAACTCCGTGTCCACCGAGGCGGCCACGGCCGCCCAGCCCGAGCGCGGGAGCGCGTAGAGGGCCAGCGTGCGGGCCAGCGGGTGGCGGGCCCAGCGGTCCCGGGCCCAGTGGTAGACCAGCGCGCCGGCCGCACAGGGCAGCAGCACGGCCAGCAGCAGGAAGAGGCGCCAGGCCTCGGGCGCCTGGGCCGGCCAGTGCAGCCGCTTGTCCGAGGCCGCGAAACACATGCCCACGTAGTAGCCTGCGAGGGTGGACGTGGCTCAGGGTGTGGGCGCCGGCCCCGACAGCAGCCCCGCACCCTACACCCCAACACACCCTGGCCCCTGGCCCCACACCCTACACTCCACACCCTGACAGTGGCCCCTGGCCCCACACCCCGACACTGGCCGACACTGGCCCTGCACCCCAACACAGGCCGACACTGACCCCTGGCCATGCACCCCGACAGCAGCTGACACTGACCCCTGGCCATGCACCCCGACAGCAGCTGACACTGGACGACACTGGCCCTGGCCCCACACCCCGACACTGGCCGACACTGACCCCTGGCCATGCACTCTGATACTGGCTGACACTGACCCCTGGCCCTGCACCCCGACACTGGCTGACACTGACCCCTGGCCATGCACCCTGATACTGGCTGACACTGACCCCTGGCCATGCACCCCGACAGCAGCTGGCCCTGGCCCTGCACCCCGACACAGGCCCCTGCTAAAGAGAGCCAGCCAGTTCGACTGCAGAAGAGGTGAACGGCCCTGGTGCTGGCTTGGAGGCGCGTCCGCCCTGGGCGACGACCCCCAGGAACAGGCACGGCCCTCACCGAGCCCAGACAGGCTGACCCGAGGCCCCTGTTCCTCTCCCTCCTGCTCCTCTCCCTCTCCTCCCTCCTCCCCCTGCACCCCGTTCCCCTCCCTCCTCCCCCTGCACCCCGTTCCCCTCCCTCCTCCCCTGCACCCCGTTCCCCTCCCTCCTCCCCCTGCACCCTGTCCGCCCCTCCTGCGTGCCCGGGCCGCTCACCCAGCGGCAGCAGCGAGTGGCACAGCAGCGTGGCGGCCGTGCGGCGCAGGTGGTAAGACACGAAGGCGGCGTCCTCGCTGCCCAGCCAGCCGGACAGCAAGTTCTGCACCGTGAGGCCGGCCGAGTGGAACTCGTTGGGCGTGAACACGAAGCACACGGCGAACACCAGGTAGGCCAGCGTGAAGGTCACCTCGGGGCTGTCCATCGTGCCGGCCGGGAGACGCGGGACCCCCGGACCCCCGGACCCCCGGACCCCGGCCGCCCGGGCGGTTGTGGCCGACGCTGCCCGGAAGCCCGCGGGGCCTGCTGGGAGATGGAGTCCCGGGCCGGGCGCCCGCAGGGCCTGCTGGGAGATGGAGTCCGTCTGCGGGGGGGCAGTTTCGGGGACAGACACTTGGCGCCCGCGCCCCGCCGGAAGTGGCGCGAGGGGCGGACCCCGCGGCCGCTGCCGGCCGGAAAAGCCCTTGGCCTCTTCCACGTCGGGTGGCCGGAAGAACCCCCGCCCCGAAGCCGCACCCAGAATGCTTCCGGCCAGAGTGGAACTGCCGCCGCCCTCACGATGTATCGAGGCTTCCCATTGGTCTGCGGCGTCCAGAGGTCCCGCCCCCGGCCGCGCGCTGATTGGCCGCGTTGCGCCAACCGCCAGTATTTGAATCGCCTGGCGCGGCGAAAGCGGGCTCGGACCGGACTTGGCGCGGCGGGCCCTGTGTTCCGCAGGCCGGCCAGCAGGTACGGGGGTGACCGTGCGGGCACAGGGAGTGACCGTGCGGGTACAGGGGGTCAGAGGGCAGCTTGCGGGTACAGGAGTAACCCTGAGGGCACAGGGGGTCAGAGGGCAGCTTGCGGGTACAGAGGGTGACCCTGAGGGCACAGGGGGTCAGAGGGCAGCTTGCAGGTACAGAGGGTGACCCTGAGGGCACAGGGGTGACCCTGCAGGCATAGGGTCTCAGAGGACAGCCTGCAGGTACAGGGAGTGACCCTGCCGGTACAGGGGTGACCCTGCAGGCACAGGTCCCAGAGGGGAGCCTGCAGGGGCAGTGAGCCTGCGGGTGGATGTGTCCCCCCAGTGGCCATCTCCTCAGCCGTCTTTCAGATAAGCCTTTTCTATTTCCTGAGACTGGGTGTCACAGCGGGCCAGGTGCAAAGCGCTCCGGGGCTGCGCCAGGCCACGGCAGGGCCCTGGGCTGTGGGCCATCCTCCACTGCTTCCCCAGAGCTGGTGGGGACTCGAACCGGCACCCACACAGTATGCTGGACTTTGAGGCTGCAGTTCAGCCTGCTTCAACATGGTCCCTGAATAAGTTGTTGTTGCAGAAAGTAATCCTGCCTGGGGTACAGCTGGCAGGCAGGGCAGCAACAACACCCCCGTTCCAAGCCGTCACCCCCTGGCCTCAGCCGTGGGCCTCTGACTGCCTCACAGATGGGTCAGCAGGCACTGTGCGATGGCTCAACTGGCCAGTCCTCTGCTTGCGATGCTGGCCTGTGTCCCAGCTGCTTCACTTCCTGTCCAGCTCCCTGCCTGAGAGGACAGCCTGGAGCCTTGGGACCCTGCACCGGTGGGAGATCCTGGCTTTGGATCAGCTCAGCTCCGGCCATTGCAGCCTTTTGGGGAGCGAACCAATGGACGGAAGATTTCCCTCTCTCTATTTTTTCTTCCTGTAAATCTGCCTTTTCAATAAAAATAAAAAGGGCCTATTTTAGGCAGGAACCTAGAAGTGTAGCTTCTAGAACTTTCTGGACCTGGAGGTCCCCGTGTATGTCTGGCTCCCAGACGCTGATGTCAAACCCCGAGACGCCGTCTCTGGCCCTTGTGCCCCACTCGCTTCGGGCCCATTGTTAGCTGGCCATGGCAAGCCTGGCTCAGAGGACTTGGCCCTCTGCTCTGCTGTATCCCTGCAGGGACTGCCACCATGCCTCAGCAGGGGACCCCATGTGCAGGGTGGGCAGCACAGCCCAGACCTGCAGGACAGCCTGGCATGACCCCTCCCTGACCAAACTGCACCCTGACCCTGACCCTCCCTGACGCCCATCCCTGACCCTGACCGCCCCCTCCCCTGGCCCTCTTCCCTGACCCCCTGACCCTCCCCCTCCCTGACCCCTCCCTGATCCTCCCCCTCCCCTCTGCTTTCCCAGGATGAGTTTGCAGGTCCTCAATGATGAGAACGCCAGCAGCGAGAAGAGCCCCGAGAGCTGCAACTTCCTGTTTTCACCGCCAGAACCTTCCGGAAGATCGGCTGTGCTCCGCCTATCACAGAAAGAGAACGTGCCACCCAGGAGCCTGGGCAAAGCAGTGAAGGTGGGGGCCTGGGGTGCTGCAGAGGTGGGGGCCTGGAAGTGCACCCCAGGGTGCTGTGCTGGAGTGGGAACCTGTGCTTGCTGCCCGACAGGTGACCTTCCAGACCCCGCTGCGGGACCCGCAGACACACAGGATCCTGACTCCTGGTCCGGGCAGCTGCCTGCAGACCCTGCTTGCTCTAGATGACAGACATAGGCCCGAGGGCGCCCTGCACATCCCACCGCAAAGCGAGAGGTGGGTGCTGGGCCCATGGGGCATCTAGGACTGGCCAGCCTGTCTGCTCTGGGGTGGGATAGGGAGCCATTGGTCAGGGGCTCGCGGTGGGTGTGGGGCCGGTGGTCAGGGGCTCGCGGTGGGTGCAGGACTCGGTGGGTGCGGGGCTGGTGGTCAGGGGCTCGCGGTGGGTGCAGGACTCGGTGGGTGCGGGGCCGGTGGTCAGGGGCTCGCGGTGGGTGCAGGACTCACATGGATGCGGGGTCATCTGCTTCCTTGGGGCCGTGCTGTTCCTGCTCTGTTGCTTGGTGCTCTCTCACTTGGCTTTGTGCTTGGCTAGGAGATTTGGTCACGTGGGGCTCGAGGGCACGAGCTGTTGTCTCCTGAGACCCCAGGAGGCTGTGCAGGGCACTCTGAGATGTCACCTGGGAGCTGGCTGCCCTGTTGGCCGTGCCCAGGGCTGTGGTACCCACACATGGGCCATCTTCATGATGGGCCCCCTGGGTGATTGGATAATCAGAGTGAGACAGCAGGGCCCAGGCTGTGGTGGCAGGTGCCAGGCCTGGCCCAGGAGAGCAGCTCCCAGAACGAAGGCGCCAGCCTCAGTGGATTCAGGCCCTGTGCACTAAGGCTGTGCAGCTGTGGGTTCCTGGTTGTCACGGCTCTGCTCTGCCTCAGCCATGTCACAGCAGCCCGCTGGCTCGGTGGCCGCGCCTGGACACGCATGTGCCGCCCGTGGATGCAGCATGCCTGGGCAGCTCACGGGCTCTGAGTGCTGACTGAGTGTATTTGTCAGCAGCGAGGCAGACGCTCACATCTCCAGCGGAACCCTCCAGAGACAAGCAGTGGCTCAGGTAGACCCTGCCTTGGGGACGGGGAGCCTGGCCCCTGAAGACCCTGACTCGAGCAAGCCTGGCCCAGCGTGCCTGAGTGCCTCCAGCCCCCCTCAGAGCCTAGGACCTAGGAAAGACGAGACAGCAGCTCCAGGCGTCCCCGGCAGCCCTCACGTTACGCTGCAGGAAGAGGGGGTCACCCGTCTCCCCGGTGACAGACGAGCAACTGTCGCCAGCAAGCCAGGCCTAGTCCCCACACAGAGTCCACCCGCTGCTGCCTGCGGAAGCCCGCACAGTGCCCACCTGTCCTTGCCCATGGCTCCTGAAGAACTACACGGGGTGCCCGGAGGTGCTGAGGCTCCCCTGCAGCCCACGGGCTGCCTGGCACTGGCAGACGAAGGCCTGTCCCCTCCTGAGGACTCGGCCCCCGCTGCCCCCTCACAGGCCAGCAGGACCCCATCCCCAAGTCCCCAGAAGGGAGCTGTCACTGAGCAGGCAGCCGAGTCCCCGCAGACCCATCCCTGTGCACTGGGACAGAAGCAGGAGGTGGCTGCCGGCGAGGCTCACAGCAGGGACGGACAACCCAAGCCTGCAGCCCACCTCAGCCCAGAGGAGTCACCAGTGCCAGGCTCCAGCCTGTTGGAAACTGCCCGTGAGACTGCTGGCCAGGCTGCCCAGCCCTGGGAAGGCCCTGAAAGCAGCGCCGAGCAGCCTGAGGCCGAATCCCCAGGGTCTGAGCCTGCGACTACTGAGCCCTCACCCCCCAGCCAGTAAGTGGGAGGATGCCCTACCTTATCCCCCCTCCGTTTCACCACGTGTGCTCCTGGTGCAGAAGCCACTCTGACCCTGTGGCCAGGGAGACGCCCTGTACCACCTGCAACTGGCACTGTGGTGCTGTGCCCCCAGCAGCCCACAGCCTGCCCGTCCAGTGCCTTCCCTGCCCAGTGCCCATGCGGCTCAGGAACTCCTGACTCTTGCAGGCCACAGTGTACAGCTTTGCTGGGCAACACCCCTGAGGTACAGATGGCAGCCAAGACCCCAGGAACAGAGGACAAGGTGTGGTACATGGGTCCAGGGCCCCCAGCACCCCCACGTGTGTGCACTGTCTGGCAGGGGAGGCCGGGATGTCGGGCAGGGCAGGGGGCACTGCGACCTCTCTCATTGCATGGCTGACGTTCCCTAGGGAGTTGCTGGTCCCTGGGGCATAGCAACACCCACGCACTGTCCAGGCGGGGAGCCCGCAGCCCCCACTGCTCAGCAATTGCCAGAGCCACTTTTGAAGGTGGAGGAGGAGAGCTTCCGAGACCCAGCCGAGGGTAGGTACCTCTGGAGGGAGCCCATGGCCAGAGACCCGCACGCCTACCAGGACCCAAGCAGGGGTGGCACAATCTGCAGGTGGGGCTGAGCCTGAGGCCCAGGGACCTCCTGCATCGCCACAGTCTCACCAGAGAACGGACCAGGGACAGGAGGAGGCAGGCGCCATCCAGATGGACCCTGGAGGCGGGAGCAGCTGCCCCTTGCCCCTCACTGTCCCAGGATGGGGTGGGACACGAGTCTGAGGCAGCTCATGACTGCTGCTCCAAGAGCTCCCGCACTTAGCTGGCATCGGCAAGACCCACTTCTATCCACCAGCTGTGCATGACGCTGCAGCTTGCCCATGTGCTGGCACTGGCTGCCTCCATCGGGTTGTCACCTCCCTCCCCTGTGGGCAGGGACATCTGGCTGTGGTCTGACTGCCCGTCCGCCCAGCACCCAGGTGGGGTGTGCTGCAGGGCCTTTGGCCCAGCCCAAGCTGCGTGGGATGCGCCTTTCTGCCAGGCCAGGGAACAGCAGTTGTGCACGGAGACACTTGTTCATGTGCATTCATTTTTAAGGATTGTTGTTGGAAAGACAGACTCGCAGAGAAGGGGAGACAGATCTTCCATCCACTGGTTCTTGTCAGCACCTACACTGTGGCGCCTGAGGGTCTCCCTGACAGGAGGCACTGATGGGTGCTGGTGGCAGTGGTGCCCCCCATTTGCTGTGGTCAGCGTCTTGGGTCCCCAGAGCTGCCGTGTCAGCTGCCAGTCCACGTCTCCCCGTTAGAAGCTGATGTTGGCTATGCTGCAGACAGAGCCAGCGCGTTTCTTCACTCTTTTGTTATTTCACGATACAGTTCCATAGGCCCTGGGATTTACCCTACCCCTCCCTAAGTTGCCCTACAGTGTGACTGTAGTATGTTCGTGCAGACACATGTCCATCACTGTGGGCATGGACAACGGCAGGGTCCAGCATCCTATTGTCAGTATAGGTAACGCTGTCACTGGGAGTAGATGCGTACTGCATTGAGTGCTCACCTCTGGTCATCAATCTCCATCACAGTCACCGTAAATCCCCTAAATGAAAAGCCACAATACAAGATCAACAAGAAGGGAAAAAGAAATTAAAAATGCCACAGACATTTAGGAGGTGTTCCTAGCAAGAGGGGTGCCCGTGTATGAGGGGTGTTGCCGGGCCAAGGTTAGTAGGAGCGTTTCCAGTGCCTGGCACTGTGTTGGGGTGGGTGCCCACAGGAGCCCCTCTCAGTTCTAGGCATGGAGGCTGCCGAAGTGGATTACTTGGAGCAGTTCGGAGCTTCCTCAGTAAGTGCTGGGCATCAGCTGCATGCCACCCGCCACGTGTAGCACCACTCAGCCTGGTGCGCCTCAGGGGACCTGTGGTCCACATGCTGAGCCCCTGGGGCGGGGTCCCTGGGTGTGGACAGCAGGGGGCGCTGTGGGTGATGATGTGCCTCAGGGCAGCAGTGACGTGGACAGGGCAGCCCTGCTCCTGCCCGAGGGCTCTGGGAGCTGCTATGTGCCTCTGACCAGCTTGCCCCTTGCAGTTTAAGGAGTCAGCCTGGCGGAAGCAGTCCTTGTACCTGAACTTTGACCCCCTCCTGAGGAACAGCCCCCGGCAGCTGCTGCTGCCACAGCTGCCGCCATCCCCGGCCCCGGAGGCGCACAGGTTAGCTCTGGCCATCGGAGGCCCCGTGGGCCAGCTCGGCCCTATCTGTTAGAAGTGAAAGCTCGGGGGTTGTGGCTATGACACGCACGGAGAGAGGGTTGTGTGCGGGCGCTGCCTGCCAGGTGCACCTAGAGGGAGGCCCTCTCAGGATTGGCCTAGGGGCCTACAGTGCTGGCATCCCATGTGGGCACCAGTCCAAGTCCCAGCTGACACTTCTGACACAACTCCCTGCCTGGGAAAGCCTGGTCCTTGTGCTACGACCTGCATGGAGACCTGGAGGAAGTCCCTGGCTTCAACCCGTTACAGCCATTGGAATAAGCTAGCGGGGAGGAGTCCTGCAACTCAAAAGCAAAAATAAACATTTCTAAAAATAGTGGGTTAGCCAAGACCCAACACGTCGCATGCAGCAGCTTAACACACCGTGCCACCAGCAAAGTCACACTTCACCGCCATGGTCCTGCTTCCCTCCAGCGTCAGGGACCTTGGGACTGGCTGGCCCTCTTAGCTGCAGCACCATGACACAATGACAGTGGGACAGGAAGCCCCAGGATGGGGGAAGCAAGTGAGAGGTGCCACAGCCTGGGCTCACCCTGCCGTCTGCTCCCAGCACACAGCTCCCAGATGGGCCCTCAGGGACTGCCCAGGATGCCCTGCTGGTGGACCTGGACCTCCTGGGACCTGTCAGCTGTGCACTTCCTCCACAAGCTCAGGTTAGAGGGTGGTGGGCCTGGCCTGGGCTCAGAGCTCCTCCACGGTAGGGGGCTTCTAACTCACCTTCATCCCTGCAGGTGCCGAGCACACCCCCGCGCATCCTGCAGCCTGGGGACCCACCCGTGCCAGTGGGGCCCGTTGTGGACGTGCTGCAGTACAGCCAGCGGGAACTGGATGCTGCGGTGAGGACACAGGCTGTCAGCATGGGCCACCACTGCCCGCAGCCCAGGGGCATGTCCTGTCATCCCCGCTCCTGTCCTGCCCTCAACCAGACCACTGAGAAAGCTCCTGGCTGTTTTGTCCAACACCCCTGTACCCTGCAGTGCCCATGACCTTGCTGCACGCAGACACCCAGGCCCCTGCCCATCTCAGCCTGCCCGCTGGCAGTGTCCACTTCCACCCCTCTGCCACACAGGCTTGGGCTCCAGAGGACCCTGCTATCCCTGCTTGGGGGGCCCCCCTGGGGTGGGGCATGTGTAACTCCGTGCGTGGCTCGCAGGTGGAGGCGGCACACACGGAGAGCCAGGAACTGAGGCGCAGGTGTGAGGAGCTACAAGCCAGGAACCTGGAGATGGGGTAAGGGCAGCCGCAACCCCCCTGCACCACCCCACTCTGCCCGCGGTCTGCAGGGCACTCACTCAACCCACTCCTCCTGCAGGAAGATCATGGACGGGTTTGAGGCAATGGTCTACCAGGCGATGGGTGAGTGCCTGGGGATGGTGGCCAGAGCAGACCCCCTCCCCTGGGCGAAGCGTCCAGCCCCCTCTGTAAGGATGGTGGCCAGGGGTCCCTGCAGCCGCCACAGGTGCCTGACCGCTGCCTGCACCCTCACCCCGCATCTTTTCCAGAGGAGGGGCAGAAGCAGAAGGAGCTCGCCAAGGCTGAGGTGCAGAAGGTTCTGAAAGAGAAGGCCCTGCTCACAGCCGACCTGAGCTCCATGGAAAAGTCCTTCTCCGACCTCTTCAGGCGCTTTGAAAAGCAGAAGGAGGCGATCGAGGGCTACCACAAGGTGCGCTGTCCATGCTGAGCGCACAGGGCCTGGGCCGCACACGGGCAGCCGTGGCATGGCAGCAGCTGGAGGGTACCTGCAGGCACCTGGGGCTCCACTGGCAGCTCCCTACAGAAATAAGCCGGAATTCTTCATGGAGAAATCAGCCCACATGAGGGGACTGACCACACAGGTGGTCTGCAAATGCCCCAGCACGTGGGGGTCAGGGCCGTGGGCAGTACCCATGGCAAGAGTGGAGCTTGGCCAGTACTACCAGGTCCACAAAGAAGTGGGGAGGAGGGTTGCCCGCCCGAGATACTCAGGAGCGTCCCACAGCCAGAGGCTCAGGCAGGGCAGCAGGCGGGGCTGCTCCAGGGCTCGGGCACTGCCCACCAGCCTGCAGGCTCTCAAGGCAGAGGCTGCAGAAGCAAAGCTGTGTGCCCTGGCCCTACCCAGGTGCCTGGCAGTCCTGATGCTTTCAGCGCACAGGGACCATATCCCTGCCATAGCCCAGGCTTCACCTTGGGGTCTGGCAGCAAGCTGGGGTGCTGTCCACAGTCCATCTGTTCCTTCCCAAGAACGAGGAGGTGCTGAAAAAGTGCGTGCAGGATTACCTGGCGAGGATCGAGAAGGAGGCACAGAGGTACCAGGCGCTGAAGGCCCAGGCCAGTGAGAAACTGCAGCTGTAAGTGCCTGCCAGGGGTGGGAGGCGCCCCCGGGGCGGGGTGGCCAGCTCAGCCCTGCCCACTTCGTGCCCAGGGTCAACGAGGAGCTGGCGCAGGTGCGCAGCAAGGCCCAGGCAGAGGCCCTGGCCTTCCACGCCAGCCTGCGCAAGGCCCAGATGCAAATCGAGTCCCTGGAAAAGGCTGTGGAGCAGAAGGTGAGGCTGGGTCCCCCCCCCCCCCCGCGTGGCTCGCACTGCGGCGGCGTGTCCCCCCACCCGCGTGGCTCGCACTGCGGTGGCGTGGCCCACAGCGCCAGCAGCATGCTCCCTGTCCCCAGGGGCGAGAGAATGAAGAGTTGACCCGCATCTGTGACGACCTCATCTCCAAGATGGAGAAGCTCTCGGGCACTGCTGCTGGGCAGCACGCGGAATAAAGTCCCCTGAAGTCGCTCTCGCTGTCTGCTCTCACTGTCCTGCCCTCTGTTCGGGGACACGGCTTGGGCAAGCTGGGGACCTGGAGTGCACTGGCCTTGGCCACTCATGGGGTCCTGAGGGGCCAGGTCTCCAGGTGCTGTGGGTCACAGGCACCAAGCACAGCAGGTGCCAGCACCACTGGGCACACTCTGGTCCCATGATGTGGGCAGCACGTTGTGGAACCAGTTCCCACCTGACTGGACACCCACAGTGTGGTCCACCCCCCCCCCCCCAGGTCCCCAGGGAGCAGGGCAGTGCTGTTCTTGGCCAAAGGCTCCATCTAAGACAAGGCGCAGGGCCACGCCTCGGGCGTCTGTCCCTCAAGGCACCCTGGGGCAGGCCCACCAGCCGGGACAGAGCCTGGCCAAGCTAAGAATCTGGTGCTGGCCTGGGCCTCAGCGGCCAGGAGGAGGCACAAGCCTGCCCTGCCAGTGTGCGTAGTGACCCCGTGCTGCCAGAGGCCGTGGCCCAGGACTGGCCTGCATGGGCCACAGAGCAGCTAGCAGCCAGCATTCCAGCAGACCCATGTTGCCTGGCACCCCTGCAGGCCACTACCAGCCCTTGGACCTCATCCAGTGCCCCAGGCACTGGCACACAGAGCACCCACACCATGGGGCAGTGGGGCCCGTGGGATCTGGAGGCCCCAGGTATAGGCTGCGCCTCTTTTGCAGACAAGGAATGGGTGGACAGGGGGCTTCAGTGGCCTGGGCCCACTCCCGCCCACAAGCACAGCAGGCGAAGGGGCCAAGCTGGGCCAGGGCTAGCTAAGCCAGGCCAGGAGTCCACTCTGACAAGGCTCTGTGGGGCAACTGGACGTGTCCAGGCAGCAGCCTGGCTTGGGGCCATGCCGAGAACACCAGCCACTGGGCAGTGTCCTGGGCTGCTGCCTGCCCAGCAGGACAAAAGGGCCTTGTGTGGCTGAATAGGTGTTTATCCTGGAGCCCAGGCTGACTTAGGGCCCAGAGCCGGGCGCTGGCCCTCCGTGGTAAACATGACCAAGTGGGGCCAGCCGAGTCCTCTGGCATCCCGGGGATTCAGGGGGAACCTTGGTTTCGTGTCAGCACAGGCTGTGGGGTGTGGCAGGGATGCGGGCCACTGTGCCACCTGCCCTGCACGGGAGTCCCCAGGGCAAGGGGACCCCAGCAGAGCCACCCACACAGGAGCCCCGTCTCGGGCCACGCCTGGCGGGTGGTTGCCACCACATCGGAAGTGACAGCCAGCTGAGACTCCATCACCCTGCCTTTCAAATGAATAAAATCAAAATATAAGCTTCGGTTTGAAACAATTTAAGAGGAAAAAAACAAACCATTTCCAAGAGTCCTGCTGCAGAGTGAGGATCTGACCACGCAGCTGCACCTACGTGGGGCGTGCAGCTCCAGCCTCATCCAGAGAAAGCCTCCAGCCCCTGTGTGGCATCCGTGAGCCAGCCTGAGCCAAGGGCACCCATCTCCCCATCCCTACATTCACATCCCCTGGACAGGGCCTGCAGCCCTGAGCTGACCACAGCCTAGGCAGCACCCACACCCTCTGCAGGCCCAGCCAGACGTCTGCGTCTCTGGAGCCTCAGGGTGCCTGTGGGTGGAGCCTGTGACCCTGGGCCATGGGGCAAGGGCAGGAGGGCTTCCCCGGGGTTGCAGTGCAGCGTCCCTCACCATTCCAGCAGCCAGCATCACACCCACACATACCATAGCCGGCCCAGGAGGCTGCACGGGCACAGATGGCCGGCAGAGGGCGCCATCGGGACAGCCTGGTCAGTCACCCCTTGCTGGGGTCTCATGCAGACCTCCAGGACAGGCACCCCAGGATGCAAGCAGCCACCCGCCTCCACATGCCCCCCTGGGGCTGACGGGGGCAGACCCAAGCCTTACAGGCAATTACCATCTTTGGCCAGGCCAGGCGTGGATGCAGGAAGGGGTAGGGGCTGGCAGCTCTCCCAGTCAGGATGAGCAAATTCATGGGTGAATGTGAATCGGGACCCTGTGCCCACAGGCCAGCCCTCCATGCCAGCCATGATGAGGGCAGCAGGGCCACCGTCTCGCTCTATGGCCCTTACTATTTGCCCATCCCCAACTTGACCCCTACATTTGCCCAGAACGTCCAGGGACCCCAGAGCTGCCTGGAATCCCCACCCCGACCCAGGCCCACACTCAACCCCTCCCAGAACCCAGAGGCTACTTTAAAAAAAAATTGATTTATTTATCTTTATTGCAAAGTCAGATATACAGAGAGGAAAATCTTCCATCCAATGCTTCAGTCCCCAAGTGACTGCAATGGCCAGTGCTGTGCCAATTCAAAGCCAGGAGCCAGGGGCTTCCTCAAGGTCTCCCACGCGGGTGCAGGATCCCAAGGCTTTGTGCCTTCCCAGGCCACAAGCAGGGAGCTGGATGGGAATGGAGCTGTTGGCATTAGAACTGGTGCCTATATGGGATCCCAGCACGTTCAAGGTGAGGACTTTAGCTGCTAGACCACCGGGCCCAGGCTACATTCTTGGAGCTGACTGGTGGGGACATGGACAGGGCACCCAGTTTTCCCACCAGTTGCTGAAGAACTAAAACCGGAGCTGCTGTGTCAGCTCTTACACAGGACATGCAAGACCCAAACTCGGGATGTGGCTGAGGCGAGGGCCAGCCAGCCCTGGGAGCCCACTGTGGGGGTGGGAGGGCAGAATGAGGCCTGCTGAGGCCTGGGAAAGCAAGAATGGTCCGGGTGCTTGGACCCCGCACCTCCCTGGGGGACCTCGGTCTAGCCCAGGCCTTGCCATCTGCAGCCATTTGGGAAGTGAACTAGCAAATGGAAGATCTCTCTCTCCCCTTTCTCCCCCCTCCACCCTTTTCTCTCTAGATGCCTTTCCAATTTGGAAAAAAAAAAAAAGTTTAAAGCAAAGAGTGAGAGCCAATGGGGCTGGGGCTTGACGAGGCCGGGGATGTGGGCACCCAGTGCCCTAAGGCTCCACCACCCACTCCCACGCCCCTAGGGTTCTGGCTGCCTCTGCTGTGCCCTGGACTAGGGGGCTGGAGGTGCAGCTAACTGCTGCCCGGCGTCCAGGGGGACACTGCCTGCTGCCTGCTGGGACACAGGGTCCGTGTGCTCCTCCCAGCCCTGTTCCCTGAGCCCCAGCCAGGCGGGCCACAGCTGTGTGAGTACCGCCCCAACGTGCCCCCAGCGAGGCTCCCCGCACCAGATACCAACTCCCTGCCAGGAACTCCAACCCCTCGGGCGGGACAGGCCGTTCAAGGGACCCCGCCCCAGCTCCAGAGAGCCCAGACTTGCCTGGGGGCCACGCAGCCGCTCCCCATCCCGCCCTATAGCACCCAACCCCACAGCACTCGGGTTCCTGGCCGCCCATATGGCCAGACCCCACCACACCCCAAGTCGGACTGGCAGCCCCTCCTGCAGGCCCGGGAGGGGAACCCTCCTCCCTGAGGGTCCAGCAGGCATCCCCACTGACTGGGGCTGTACCTGGGCCTGGCAGGAAGTGCCCAGGCTCCTCTCCATGCTTCCAGGAACCCCTCACCAGCACCCAACAAGCAGGAATGCGCTCTTACCTCAGCCTGGGCTTGTCTGGCCCAGGTGCCCCTCCTGTGCTGGGGACAGCTGGGTGAGGCCAGAGCTACCCAGACTGGGAAAGACTTCCTGGAGGAGGGGCCTGGGGCCTTGCGAGAAGCAGAGCTGGGGTGGGGGTGCTGGAAACAGGGCCCAGGCAGCAGCGGCTCGGTGCCCACGGCTGGTGGCTTTCCCGCCCCTCTTCTGGCCAACCATGGACCCTGACATGGCTACTTGGCTGAGGAAGTGGCACCTGGGCACACCTCCCACTTCACGTCTGGTAAACTGAGGCCAGTGCCACCAATGGCTGCCCAGAACCCAGGTTTCCTGTGAGGTGGACCAGCAGGGTCAGCTGGAACCCAGCAGTCAGGCCTTGCAGCTCCCTGTCCGTCCACTCTGCTTAGGGGACAGGGCAGCTTCTGCTGTCCCAGGAAACTCCCAGCTCACGCGCTCAGGGAGCACGGGCAGGGGCTGCTGTGCGCCAGGGTGCCGGAAGGTCGCCACGCGGTCAACGGCAGGGGTTTCGGAAGTCTGCCCACTAACGAGATTTGCCTGTCCGGCTTCCAGGCCCTTCCTGTGAGGTGGCGGCCTGGCGTCTGCCCAACGGGTGGTGTGAAGGCACAGGCAGAGCGGGGCGGGCAGCGAGGGCTGCAGAGGGCATGGGGGGCTGCCCCAGCTGGCAACCCCAGCAGGCTCAGCATCAGTGGCCCTTGCTGACCGCTGTCTGCTCCCAGACAGCCTGGCCATAGCCTGCATGGGACACTGACCCCAGGATGCCCTGACCCTGGGCTCTACACCCACTGCGCTCTCTAGGCAGGCCCAGGGCACCTACAGCAGACATGAGCTCACCCTTAGGCCCCGTGCCTGCTAAGGGTGCCTGCCAGGCCCACCGAGGCTGGCACGGGATTCTCCAGGCGTGAGTCACCGCCTCTACCCCTCACCCCCACAGGGCTGGGCTCCCCAGGGTCCCGTATTGTCAGCGCCAGAACCTGGGGACCCACAGCCCAGCCTGCCCTTGGGGTTCCTCTCACACCTGCCGGGTGCTCCCAGGATGGAGGAGCCGAGTCTTCCTCAGAGCTGTGCTCAGGCCCAGCCCACATGTGCCCTCACAGGGAGAGAGAGGTGCCCTGTGCCCAGCACGCACCTCACTGTGCACCCTGCCCACGGAGACTGTCCGATAGTACGGCTCTGTGAGCTCTGGTGTGTGTGACAACAGGGACAGCAGGTGTGGTGGGCAGCTCCACCTGGAGGGGGCTGGGCAGGAAGGCCCTGGCTGGCGTGGGGAGCGCCCAGTTGGACGGGACAGTCGGCCACCTTGGCTGCGTGCCGGGGTGGCTCCTTAAGGTCCTAGGGAGTGGGATTCTCACCCCTGCAGACACAGAGGCCGAGCCCCACTAGGGTCAGCCCACACTGCTGGAGCGGAGGAGCCCTCT